TTTATTGCCGCATCTCTGCCGCCCTGATCAGTGATAGAGGCGAGCTTGTTGTGTTCGTTAAGCAAACACGGCGTTAATGACAATGGAACTGTAAAAATGTCAAGTCCTTGATGAAGCGTTGAAAAATTATTAAAAAGTATTCAGTAAGGGTTTCAATAAAAAAGAGGTGTAACAATATTGAGAGGATGTGAAATATTTATAAATTTTATAACATTTTAATTTAAGATTTTGTAATTAAAAAAATTACATCGGTGTTCAGTGACTGCAATTTTAACTAGTGTTATAAATAAGACGCAAAACCTTCGCCTGCCTATGAAGGCACACCAAGTCACTGCTAGTGAAGTTACCGAGTCGTAATAGCATAATTTCCGATGAAGTGTAAAGATAAAAGCCTTTTATTTTTATACTCTATCAGTAATGATGCTTCTCGTTAAAGCTTTTCAACTCATGTATGTTTTCTTTTCATCTTGTTGTCTCCCCCACGAATTAGAAGTAGCATTTAGTCTACTTTGAGTGTATATTTTCAACGTCGACTTTCTCGGTCCTTCTTTACCGACATCCAAAAAGGTTTTCAATGCAGTTGTTCTTTATGTTTATTAACTCGGAACCCCGTTATTTATGAAAATTATTTTTGAATTGGTTTCGGTTTAGCTTCCATATGGTGGCATATTAATTTCTTTGGTGCCTACCGGACCTTGAACTCTGGTGATACATCAGGATACTCCTCAAAATCAAATAGAAAATTGCCGTTTTTATAGATAATGGTACGGAACCCTTCGTCGCGAGTCTGACTCGCACTTGGCCGGCTTTTTTTTAGATGAAAATATTTTACCTGTTCAATCTATCGCTCCTATAATGATATCTTGTTTCGGGCACCACTACCTATTACGTACTAAACCGGGTCAATATACTTTTTAATTATCTCGTTCGAGCCATACTTAGGCTAATGATATAAAACCATTTTACGCACATAGCCTGTTTAAAGCAAACTTACACTAAATCCGTCAACCACCCACCCCAATCGCATACATCATCACATTGAAATTTTAATAATTTTCGTTGCACTGATCACAATCCAGGTCAACGGTTCATACTTTCTACATACAATAAGCGTGCTTGTTCACAGACAATGCATTTTTCTATTCAGCATTGTTTTATGCCATAATTACTTCACGTTAGTGTTATTTTCTTAAGTTTGTTAATGTTCTGATACAATAGGCATTATATCCCGCATATTTATTGGAAATTGACAAAATTCAAAAAAACAGTTTTTTACAATTTCGTTGACGAACATTTATCACTTAAATTTTAATAATCAGCCATTACACGGACATGATTATTTCCGCATCAAAAGTATCTCATAACTCAAACTTTAAATATATAAGACAATTTCTTACTACACTGACGTTTCTAATATGTTACTATGTGTTGACTTGGACATCTATTTATCCAAGTTGAGTATACAAAAGCAGTAGGCGTTTGATCCTTGCGTGGGTAAAACCGGATCAAGAGATGCTAATGGAACGAGTTCATTCAGATACGTCTCTAGAGATGATGCATAGTATAACGAAGAACTTGTTAATTATATTAATTAATCCAATCTTTGTATAGATTTGATAAATATAAATTATATATAATAACTTTTATAAAGAGCAATTCAGTTTTTTCCCATTACACTCCATTCCTGTAAATTAGTAAATTATTTTTTTAACGCTCATTTGATATATTTAATATAAATAACAGACAATATCAATATTTTGTAAATGGACACTTATACGTAAATAAACTACACAGCTCATCAATCAATTGATATAACGCCGATATTACACTGGCAAATTTACGAAATTTAAGTGAAGTTCAAAATTTTCCTCACACAAAACGTGTCATTTTACTTTTTTAAAGCTACACACAAGAGGGATTATTATAAACCTTGGTTGTTGAGCCTGGTTTATCTCGAATGCACTACAATGCATTCAGTGTCTCTTTTACATTATTCATGTACTGTGGTGCGAACTGCGAAGGCAGACGGAGTTGCGTTTTTATATGTACATCTGAGTGCTATTCTCCTGCCTTGAGTAATGAAGTACTGTTGCGTTTTGAATCGAGGACGAATTTGCGGTCCTTATTTGTATTTAAAAAAAACTTTGTTTCGTGTAATGACTATTTCAGTATCATTTTGCGTTTCCAGACATTTTATTAATCTGATTTAAGTTCAAAGTTAAACCCGTTAGAGATGTAAAGCATTTGAGCCACTTCAACTGTATTTTTAAATTAGTGTACGCGATTTGCGTACCTTATACAATAAATAAATTTAAAGGCACCAGTTTTGCTTGTATTTTATGCATTTTGTAGGCCTCCTTACTAACTACAACTACACTTACATATTTTCAAAATATGAATGACACAAATTACTCATTTAAAGGTATATGAAGGCTGAAGAACACGAGCGCTAAACATTTACCCACAGTAAATATTCTTGGTCTCGCTTTATATCTTTTATCGTCCCATAAACATGCATAATAATATTAACGTCTAATTACGTCCTACGTCATCCGTGAACCTTTTTTAAATTGAGGTTAAATTAATTGTCGCTCATTTTAAACATGCGATCTCTGCAATAAACCACACCTACGTCGCGCGGTAACGCGTCAACAGTGAAAAAAAAACAAATATGCGCGTACAATAAGTTGTCCTTAATTGAAAGAAGACCAAGATTTAAGGTATTTCAATGCCGAAAAAGCAGATGCTTCAATCAAGTGCGGACAGCCTTTGATCAAGCCAATCATGTGACAAGATGCAGGCCCATCGACGTGGAGTAATTTATGTATCATATAACAACAAATTTAATAATTAAATTATATAGTTTGACCATTACAAAAACACTTTTTTATTCTGGATGAATCTGAACAGTTATATTAATTAAAAAAACATCTTTTGCAAGTAGCGTAGATTTAATAGGGTACCCTTGAGAGTCCTAGGTTACGTAAATATTTTCTTATGAGAAAATATGTCAAACAAGAACAGTGGTCACCTGATGATAAGCAAGCAGGGTAGCACACGTACGTCCAAAGCCACTTCGTGCTGCTGCCAATCCGTGTCCCCTTTTAGTCGCCTTTTACGACAGGCAGGAGATACCTTAGCCCTGTTCTAGAGCCCGGGACTCACAAGGCTCTAGAACAGGGCTAGAAAAATTGGAGTGAACTGCACTCATAGACTGAACTACATTTAATATGCTGTGACAGGTACCGACCCGGGAAACCTCCCTCACCAGACGAAAATATGTACAAAAAAATTTCTACTTAACGCCGATATGTGAGCCTGTTGTACTTCCCCGGACGAACCCATCAGTCAATGGAATAGCAATAGTTACCGCCTAGTCACTATCACAGTGAACGTATAGGTATTATAATTTATATAAATCGTCTAATAAAAATAATGCCGATTATATAAAAGTACCTGAAGGACCTATTTATATTGTCGATATTTCGGATAATTTATTAATATACACCCATTTTGTTATATGATCACATTTCTCCTGTGAATGTAATCTATAAAAGAGTCGTATTTAGATGTATGATTCAAAACTATATGTTCCAAATCCAAATGGCTCCCAGTTTAGGGTGTTAATTTGCTAGCCATTTCCCGAGCGGCATCTTACACATTTTTAAAGAATAAATCAAAATATCATTAAAATACGTAGAAAAAGTGCGAAAAGATTGTCGCCGTTGTGGGTCGCTCTAGCCACTGAGCTACACGGCTAGTCGTGTAGCTCAGTGGCTAGAGCGACCGAAGACGTGGTTTCGATTCCCATAACAGCGACAATCTTTTCGTACTTTTTCTACATATTTTAATGTTCAATCTTAAGTGCAGATATTAGCACTATAATAAATTTTAATTTCAAACTATCATGTAGATAATTAGGCAATGCGGATTTTAAAATGGTGGTAAAGTTTGGGTGTAAAGATTAAAAGTTAAGATATTCAAAACGTTACAAGTCTACGTTTCACGGAGCTTTTCGATACAAACGAAACAGATGGTGATCCTTAGCCATATGGTGAACCTATTGCTATAAGTGAAAACCTACATTTACTTTTAGCTATTCATATGTTGTATTTATTCTCTAAAACAAGTATTACACTTATGAAAGCATATATTTTAAGAATATATATTAAAGTAGGCTATCATAATTGTCTACGCAGAGTCATTACGACTAGTACCTTGGATACGATATGCATTGACATGTTTGCTTCTTAACCGCATTTCAACCACAACCATTCGCTTTTGAAAATAATACAACTAAGTACAGTAATAATATAACAGATTATAAGACTGTAGGCGATAACGGTTTACTGAGAGAGGATACATATATGACTATTATCATATTTCATACTACCAAACAGTTTTAAGTTAACACACGGATTTAAGGTAATTATTATTTTTCACAGTCTTCTACAAATTTAAATTTAATATTAATGTGAATTGAACGAGGAAATGCAATAGCTCTTGTTTTGCACTCTTAATTTTTTGACACACATATTTTCCACTAAGAAGTTCTTCAACTAACCAGGCGGAGTTATCAGAAGTGGCCTACGTACATGTCTCCGCTATTAAATTATTTATAGTTTAAAGAGTTTGCCAGCGAGGCGTAGACACGTTCGCCATTTACAGATAATGTGCAGAAAGCCGAGGCGCCGAACGCAGTCGCGACTTGTTGTTATATAGACCAAGTCAACGACCCGCAGCAAGGATATGAAAATGGATAGACGTAGGGATTCAACATAAGCAATTCATCAGGAAAGGAATCTATCGCTGTGCGTCGACGCGGCATTGAATGCAAATTATTTTATCCTTTGTCTATCGCGCTCTAAATGGACATCAAATCTCACTGTATCGTTAAATTATGAATTATTTAACTGTAATTTTAACGGCGTCTGGGAATACCGGCGGACATTGTAATTATCCACAGCTAAATATAGTTATTAATTGTCTGTTATTTATCAGCGGACGCCGATGCAGTCTTGACGTCCATGTTCACGTGTCGTCGCGACGTTGCCTGATAGCATTGACGGCAAATCAATAACGGCCTACCGCAAACCATAAACAAACACGCAATCTACAACTGACGGCGAACTCGATAGGCTGTCGGTCAAACTTTTACCTCGGCCTTCCTCCTCAGGGACAGGTTCCTCCAAATCTCGCGGGGACTCGACCAGCCCGCCTTCGTTTTGTCGTTACCGCAATCACCGACGCTACTGGCACATCTGGTCAGCTTTGTTTGAACAACGCCGTTAGTTGCCGCTCTGCTCTCCATCCTGCGCCCATCCGATTACACCGCGTCCGAAGAAAACAACCTCAGGCTTTACAAAATGCAAGGACTTCGAACAAAGTCATTCACACACCGCTGAAACGCAAAACAATCACTAGCACTTCAACACGGGCTCGAGTTTCTCATGGCGCTTGTTTTTTTTTTTCTGTAACCGCCTCTCACATTTGGTCCACTCTTTGTGTTTCTTTACACCGTTCCGTTTTGCCTCGCCAATAATTGAAAACACAACTGACACGAAACAAAAAAGATAAAAACTGACGCCGCTCACGGCAATATTTCGGTTGATTTGTAACGAACTGCCGTTTTAATATGAAGCACATTCGCGTCTGTATCGGTTTGAGGTTAAGTTAAAGGCTGCCAGCCGGCGGGGCACACAAGCGCCCCTGCGACGCGACCGACACACGGGGCGAGTGTTCATCGCCGTATTACTTGAACACACTTCAAAACACCTTTAACAACCTATCGGTGAAATCACTTTCTTTTAATGCCACGTCAGCAAAATCTAATTACAGACTTTCAATCACACACGAGACCTATCTTGATAAATAAAACCGATTACTTGATTTTTTTAAATCATTACGTAATAAATTATGATTAACATTTACATAACATGTATGGTATTTATTAATTTTAATAATAACTTTTCAAAATGCACGTTTCAACTTAAAATACGCTACGTATAGAACGTCCACGTTAACTCAGGTATAAGTTAATTATGGATATAACTACGTATAGACGCAAAAGGATCCCGGGCCGTCACACTGAGTCCCACAAGACTCACAAAACCGTTTCATTATTAAAACGCAATATCAACCTTAACGCCTTCGAGGGAAAGACGAAATTTAATAACAACAGAATTGCATTAAGCCGCTTGTCTTTCGAGCGTAACAATGCAACAGGAGAACGTACCCTAACCGCTTTTGCTGGTCCGCGTAAAGCGAAAAAGTCAGTAATGTAGAACTAAAAATATTAAATCTCTCAAGGAGTTGAAATGCATAGCACAATTATATACAAAGTCTATTTCCTGTCTTATCTACGGGGCTTTCTCAGCGCGAAGGCACACAACGACAAGGCGTACACAACGATACTGATAACGAAAATTCCAAGAATGGACAGTGAACAGTACAACAAAGCAACTATAACAATCGATCGGTTACTCCAAACATTGATAGTATAGAATTTGGTCGATGCACGCAAGTCAAACAAAAACCGCTCGCTTTGAAAACTGGATGAAATTAACATACAAAAGCGCAGACCACATCCCCAAAGCGGGCAAAGCATACGATGCAATAAAACCACGCCAAATTTTTGTATGTGGCACTCTTTATTAGCCTTCCGAGAACTTTCAGGTCAGGGCACGACCATGAAACAGTTAATGTCTGTTTAGTGAATTCGACACATGCGAGCAGAATGGCCGCCGATGCATGGGTTATTTTTAACCCCGTAAGACTTGGGGTCAGTGACCCCCGCACAGTCCTCCCCGCAGGGACCAGTACCATCGCAAGAGGAACTTGTGTGGGAATGCACCAGCCACATCCTTACGCAGGAAATAAGAAAGAGGGCAAAAACAATTTCATACTGATGCTGCCCACGACATATACCGGCGGTGAGTCATAATCATGTCTCGATATAAAAACTACAAGGAAGAGACGAGCTAACCTGTTGGTTCACCTTACAAATCATGTGTTTACCACGTTAGATGGCAGTTCTAATAAATATTGGTTTTCTTATGACCCACAGATAGTACCACAGGGACATACCCTGACTCTAAACCATTTGTTTATATTCTAATTATATTTAAACTAATGAAGGACAACAAAATAATCGCTGCCGTAATTAGGTCGCGTAACTGTCGATTGATCCTTTTTAAAAACATCACGTGACGAAATGTAGCGGACGGTCCCGTTATGAAGGCGAGCATTTTTCAAAACCTTGCATATTTACACGTACATGACATTTTATTCATTGCCCTCTCAGCGAGTAGCGGTAATGTAGTTATATATTAAGATTTGATTAGACAGAAATTGTTGTCATTTAACACTACATTCGCTTAATTCTCTTCAGCCGAGATTGCGATAAAAGGAAAAGGTTAACAAAGTTTTAAATATAATTCTTCAAAATAAATAGAATTCGTTCCTTTACGACTATTCGTAATTATTATTTTATTCCTTCAAACCTATTTTATCAATGAGAATATTTGTGTATGAGAAAGCAAACAAATATTATAAACATTGCTCGATGGCTGCTTCAAGAGGGCTGTATTAAAATAACAAAACTTCCCTTCGTGGGGTGCGCTGCCTTAGCGATTGGGGGAACTGTCGGAGGGGTGCGCGGACTCACCGTGGCGGTGTCGGTAAGGGTGACCGTGGCCGCGGTGGGCCCGCTATTCGCCGGCGCGGTGTTGGGGGCGGTCGTGGCCGACACCTGATTGTTGGAGCTCTGCTCGATGATGCGCTGCCTCAAGGCCAGCCGCTCGAGGCTGGCCAGGCGGTGCGAGCCGCCGGCGCCCTCCCTGTCGCGCTCGCGGAGTCCGGTCGAGCTGGCGCTGCCGGCGCTGAACGAGCCGCTGTACTTCGGCAACGTCGGCGGTGGCACGGGCCTCGCCGCGCCCCTGCCGAGCAGCGAGCCGCTGGACGTGTACGCGTAGCCGCCCGGCGTGCCCAGGGTGGCCGTGCGCGGCGCGGACCCGATCCCGTTCAGGGCGCCGCTGGCCCCGTTGACGGCGCCGCCGTTCACCGTCGTCGCGCTGCCGTTCATCTCTTACGTGTGCCCGCCGTCATGCGAGTCGTGTAGCGCGAGACGGCCGCCGCGAACAACGTGTCGCGTGCGCGTGGGAGCGTCCGAGCCAGTTGCCCGTCGGAGGCGGTTTGACAGCTCGGCGGAGCGGCAACCGCGCCCCGCCGCCCAACCCCCCCTCCCCGCCGGGCCACGGATACAGCACGCCTGCTGCCTCACTGGAGGGTTGCAAATGCATTGTTCCTCATTCTCTGTCAAGGTCAACGCGAAAACTCCAACTCTCTAATGCGTTTCAGCCTTTTCACGCTCGGCAACAACTCGCTAGAAACGTACCCAGTTTCAGTGTTTTTGTCGTATGCAATCGAAGCAACTGTTTGAATAATAGCCCTTATGGGTGTGTCCAGTCATATCTATGAATGTTAATTTATTTCACGTTAAAAAATACGACTCTCTTTAACCGTATTTACTCTCTTGGCCGTATTCAAACGATCAACAATTTTCTTTCAGCTCCGTTTCAAATATTCACACCTCACTTCAAAGTTGACACCATCCACGAATAAGGTTGATTAATAGACCGTTCAATAATTTCAACCATAAACAATGCCTGTATAATTGCATGCTCGGTTACGTCGAGAGGGTACTTTAGTCTGAATCGTACAGTACCGAAAATGAATCGCGTATCAGGACATACCAATTCTATCAAATATTGTTTACATTGAGACCGTTTTATAACAACAATTATGAGAACATGATATACATACCAGATAATTCAATTTTATTCATGTTTTTTAAACAATTGAATCATGTCATAACTTAGCAACAACAACAGTTTCATAAACATTTTCAATAGGTGAAAGAGGGAAATGACGTTACTTGGTTCATTGGCCCGCCTGAGCCAAGACGCGAATTGAACCTCGGTACAGAGTTATTAGCGGAAGTGCTTTAAGTCGTAGAGAATAGACATCCGCAATCATGCATGCTAAAAACGTACCGTACTATGTAATTACAAAGACCAATTTACATTAAAAGTTTATAATGTTGCTTTAATAAGCGCCAGTTCATAGCCTTAGACATGTTCGATACTGGAACACGTAACTAAATCTGAGAAGAAAATATCCCTCTTTCGAATTTTTACCACTTTACGCTGTTAAATTATTTGTTCTGTAGACAACGCAACTCATCCAACTCCCTTACGAATTAGCCTACTACTCCTCCTGCTGCTAAATAAAAATTACCTTTAAATATACTTTCAGTGATGTTATAACAGCCAGCGTACGGTTAAAGGTGACATGCTCCCGATAATCTCCGCGTGTATCGTGGAACATTATAAAAAACTTCCAAGCTCGGAGGAGCACGTGGCGATCGCGTGGTCGTCATTTCGACGATCGACCGCCACAGAGCGCACGCGCGACCTCACCCTCACATCCTCACAACCCCCGGGTGCAACGCTGCCCCGCAGCTATACCGATAATAATTGGAAAGCACAATGAACTGCACCCAACGCAACGTACACTCAACGCGTGCCTACGACACGGCATTGTTTTGAATAATCACTGCGGCACGGGAAGGTGAAAACAAAAAAACAATCAAGCGGCTTTTGAAATAAAAATAATTTTAACCGATTTCGTAGCGTTTCATTATTGCGTTTTGTTCACTGATCCATTGGAGTGCATTCCTCGTTCCCTCCATGTAAAAACTGTACTAAAGTGGCTGCCAAATTAATGAGTAACATTTATTTTGACTTATAGTTACTTACTTTATTCAGTGGTTTTCAGTTCATGAGAATTCCAACAACAAAAAACAAACATTAGGCACTATAGGAACTAGTGATATTACAAATAATTGTGGTTCAGTAGCAAAGTAAGAAAATGGTCATAATATTAATCAGTGTACATAAAATTATTGTTTTACGGAATATAATGTAAAACATAGGTACTTCGGAGTGTACCTACTAATTAATAGCCCTCCATACGACACAGTCATTCTGTTCTGAGTTGAATGAAAAATCGTATGACAAGTGGCAACTACCAATAAATTTAAGCGCCATCTATTGAACACCGTTGATAAGTGCTGTTGTTGAAAACACACATGACGCTAGATGTTATATTATGCAATATATAAACGCAAATAAGTTGCTCACGATTCTCGCTAGAGAGTGTTAATGTCTTTCTTTTTAGAAGCAGCCAATAACAATAATTATAAAAATCGTACAAAGCCTATAAAACACAAACAGACCTCACAGAAGACTACAGTACTAGTACTTTGAAGTTTGCTTGTGGTCCAGCGAGTGATTAGCGTCAGTTATTTCAAAGATTGGCAACGGAACTGCAATTCCACTAGTTATATGGATGTCCATGGGCAGTGGTAAACGGTATCGCATAATTGTCTTCTTAGAGAAAAATTATATGAACAATTTATTAAATATTTTGCTATTTTATTCCAGTTCTTGGAAAAAGCTCATAAATATGGAAGTTTTAATTTCCTGCGACATGAAGTCAAACAAGTCCATCAATTGACGGATATTTTAAGATCTAGGAAAATGTTAGCAAGCTAGCGCATTTGCCCCGACCGGCTTTACACGGACGTACAAGTAAATTTTCTATCCCTCAATTTATTTTAAATAAATATTAAATACAAGTATATAACTTACCTATAAAGAACGTAAATAAAAAACAATATTTTTTTAATATATTGAAAGTCAACAATATAATTTGTATGGCTGTCGAAATATTTCAGCTTTTCCTTCAGACTAAATACATTAAATAACTTAACTTAAAATAAATTCGTTTCACTGCATATGTTCAGGGCTACTCCGGTTAAGAAATAATTTAAAAAACTATTGATGTTTCAGAGATTACGCAATTTACAAAAACGAAGAAGTTAAATTTATAATTAAAATTTGTAGAATTAATTTTAAGTGCAGAGAATTAGCACTATCAAAAAATTTCTAAATTTATAATATTAATAAAAATTCAAAACATGGCCGACCAAATTCTAAAATCTTTCAAAGTGAAAAGTTCGGTATTTGATTCGTAATCAATAGTGTGTACTTTTGAAACAAAACATATACGTTAAAACAAAAAGCCATTTCCTTATTGGCCATCTGTAGAGAATCTCCGCCATATAAAGTTTGTTGACCTTATACACATTGAAAGATATAACAAAGATGTGGACCACGCACGTGTCCATAAAGGATGGCGCAAGCGAACCATACTTTTGAGAAATACAAACTGAAGTCTCTAAAATTATCATTTAATATAAGATTTATTATGAATATATTGATGGACGGCAAATTAAGTCTATAAAATAGGGATACGTCGTTTTTGCTATTTTATATATGTAATTGATAAATTAGTAATACCGTCTATATTAACTGACAGAGAAGAGTGAGACAGTCAAAGAGCTAACTAAGAAATGTTTCTTGGATTTACTCGAATATGTGTAATAATTGCGATAATCCTTTTTAATAAAACTATTTCACGGAATTTTATCGCTTTAAATTTATACGGACCAAGATCTGATTCTATGAAGTTTCTAGTGTTCTAAATTTTGGGAATACAAAAACCAAAATGCATTAAAATAATAAAATCTAAAAAATAAGATTATTAACTAAGTATGTAGGCTATTATTTTTACATTGGTAGAAATGCTACACGTCTCAAAAAATGCATAACAAGAAAGAGTAATTAGGTACATCATATTCATTACAATCTTTCCCAAACTATTTAATTTGACGACTACAATAAATGCTTCGCATATTGACTCAGCCGAAGCCTTAGAACTCTGGTTTAATCGCAGCTTGTTAAGACGTAACTAATAGCGATTGGTAGCCAGTAGCGCTTGGTCATTAACATAAGTTTACGACACTGAAGGCTAGACACTCAAAACCTTAGTACAATGTGCATCTATCTCTTATTAAACGAATAAAAGCTATGTGGGTATCCCTTTTTTAGAGCAGGGGTAAGACATCTAGCATAAAGTTTATATAATGGGAGAGTACCAAAATGATAAATTTATTCATGACATTATTCATTAGAATAAAACATAAAACATTCATTGCTTACGGTTAATGTTAAAAGCACATATTGGCTTGCAGTCAAAACGTCGTACATAGTCGAGATTTTCGCAAGGCTAGAAATTATAATGAAAATATAAGTCTGACTGAATGACTTAAGATTTTGGGTTGTGTTTCGATCCCTGATTCGTCGACTTTGCCGAACAGTAGTGATAATAATAAATCTATTTGGCGTCAATCTTCATCAAGATAAAGTCAAAGTTCATCAGAGACAATGATAAAAGTCAAATTCAACTTATATTCAAATACCTTACAGCATTATACATATGGGAGCAGCGTTAAGTGGTTGATGACAACCCGGTCTAGCAGCATTAAAAATATTAATCTTACTCCGATCTACGCAGACAGTTCAGAGTAGTCGGATCTACGTACAGAAGTTTGATTTAAACATTATATTGTAGTGGAAATTTAAAAAATCAATATGTGAACAAAATAGATGTTTGTTTACTTAGATTCTCATTTTTTTTAATATTGTCCCTTACTGTAGGATAACATTATCCTGTGTTGTAAGGACGTTTTACATACATAGACTTCACGTGGACAAACACCCAGATCCTAAACAATTATCTGTGGGTCACACAAACAGTTGTCATGTGTGGGGATCGAGCCCACGACCCCCGGCGCCAAAGCCAATATCTTGGCAACTGCGCCACGGAGTAACCATAATTATTTAAATATAATTACCAGAAAACAAACCTAACTTCAAATATCTCGTACGCTATACTTTTTCTGTGATTTTGAAGAGTTCCCTAATGAGATACATTAGGGAACTGTTCAAAATCGAATTGCAAGGTAATCGAAGGCAAAATCAATGTGGGCTAAACTGAACCCATTGCAAAAATAATGTTTAGAATCCGTTTTCTAAATGTCGAAGTTCTGAGGAAAAAAAATACATAATAAAATAGAACCGAATTCAGAACCACCTTTTTTGAAGTCGGTGAAAAATATTGTAATGCAAAAGTTAATATTTTATAATCAAAATTTTAATTTTAACACATTACTCACACGCATTCTTAAGACATTCGACGTTTATCATAAAATTACTAGAGCGTTTATTTACGCATTGTCTAGTACTTCAATAGATAAAACAAACAATACCATATGGACGTTAGATAATTCTATTTTCGTCCGTTAATTACTGGACAAATGCGCTTAAGTATAATTACATGGTGATTTTACAACTTACGTCAGCGATATGGAGTGCAACAAAGAATTGTGGCCCTTGACTTATTCCAATAACTTTAGAACAACACTGAAACGCCTTATTAATAAACTAACAATAATATTTGCAATATCCGGTATTTACAGATGGATAAGGCCAATGTTATCTATGACGAGTGATGTTTTCGCTTTTACACCTTTTAACTTCGTAAAAAGTACCCGTTAAAATAACTTCGTAACTGTTCTTAATCATTACAATATTTAGATTCAGATCTTTACATTAATAAACTTGATTTTCGTAGTGCAGTTCATATATTAAAAATTTCAATACCCACACGAATTTTATATACAAAACTGCTCGTAGTTCGAACATAGAGGATGCCAGTTACCGCAGGATTTATAAATAAATTATTGAAATTAACATAAGACAATAGACTTTGTATGTAAATATTTTGTAATAAAAGTAACAATACCAATAATAAAAAAGTAGGCTTAAGTCTCTTATAAGTCTCTATAGAAAAGAATGCGAATATTGTTGCTCGATTTATTTATGGCATATTAGCCCTAAAATACGCCCGCTGTTTGGCCAAAAAGGCACGTGCTTTGCGGCAAGTAGGCCGTGTTTCTAAAACAATTCGCACTTCACTCCCGACTTCCGTTTATAAACTAAAATACCTCCCGAACGTATACATGCATACATGATACACATAATATGATTACTATACTATGAGCTACTTGAGCTTTTTTTTATTAAAAAAAATTAAGAGAAAAAAAAACTATAATCATAGCGTGTTTTTGTGAAACACACGCTATGATTATAGTTTTTTTTCGAACGCTATCATAAACGCGTGTTACAAATGATAAAGGGTAGTTCAATATAAAGTGAGAATACGCAAATAAGTACAAACCCTTTGGAACCAAAAAAAGTAAATATTGGCTGATAAAGCAGCATTATTGACTGGATTAAAAAGGTTATTGATCAGGTTAAAGGAATTATTTGAATATCCTTTATTTTTTGAAAATTTAAGACTTGTTTGCAGTCTGTCGTTGCGTGTTGTTGAAAATGGACACTATTGATTTTTTTTTTTTGGGCTGGATGAGCCACTGTTGGCCTTAGGGGCCTTTACAGATCCGACGGACTTGAGGTGGCCTGGCGCACGAGGCGCCTAGCCTGAACCTCGGCGTACTATTATTACGCGTTATGGTGACTAAGCTCGAGGGCTCCCGGGGGAGCCTCGGCTCGGGCCGTCACGCTATTATTATTACCGGTTTGGGAGGCCGCCAAGCTCTTAGGGCGCTTTGGCGGGCGCTCCATGGAGTGATCAGGCTCAAGGGTCCCCGAGAGGGGACCTCGGCTTGGGCTGTCACTCAGCACGCGTTTAGCATTCCGATTCGAGGGTGCCCGAGAGGGCCGGACCTCGGCTCGATCGGTAGCTAATCTGACTGGAAAAAACATTGGTCAAGTTGTGCCTTAACCGTTTTATGTGTTCCATCCTTGTCAAGGGGAGTGCTAACCGTCTCTCCTTTCAATAGACACAATAGACACTATTGAATTGCGCGCGGTTATAAAGTTTTTGTGAAAAAATTTACTACGGAACAAGACTTACGGTCTACTTTAGTAGATAATGCTCCCCCGTATTCCACAGTTACACATTGGTGTGCAGAATTTAAACGTGGAAGAATATCCACCAAAGATGACCCTCGCTCAGGTCATCCTACGATGATAGTGACCGACGAAATAGTTAAAAATGTCGAAAAATTTATTTTGGTAGATCGTCGAGTCACGGCAAGTTTTATTCCCGAGGAAGATTTCAACTGGTGGTGTGCATAGAATTTTGCACGAATCCTTTGGGATGAAAAAGGTATCTGCTGAACATTTCTAGAGCTTCTTTGGAACCGTTGCAACAAGATCCTGAACCTTTTTGACTCGATTCATATCCATGGACGAAACGTGCCAACACGATACGATACAAAAACAAAATTACAATCAATGACTTGGAATATATCATCATTTCCAACCCCTAAGAAATTTAAGGCAAGTCCTTCCACCAGCAAGATAATAGGCTCCCCTTTCTGGGATAATAAGGGGTGGTCATGATTGAATATCTCCATCACGGAGCTACTGTTACGTGCTCTTTGTATGCGAGGCAGACTAGGAAAAACTGTTTTGTTCCGTCTGGATAACGCCATGGCTCACAGGTCCGCCGTTGCGATGGCTGGCTTCGACATAGATGAGCATGTTTCATATTCAGCCTTTGCCCCTAATTATTTCTATTTCCAAAATTGAAGGAGTATCTGAGAGGACAAAAGTTCGAAGGTAATAAGGCAGTAGTCGCTGCAGTACCTACCTACTGAATTTTATGGTGTGTAGGATGAAGAGTTGTTTACAAAAAAGGTATTCCAAGTTTATTAAGCTAAAAGACGACTATATCGAAAAATACTAATTTAATAAAAGTTAGCGCCAACATACTCATTCTCACTTTTTAGTGAACGCCCCTAGAAGAAAACTTAAGAATTTTATCAACATTATTTTATTTTTATTATAAATACGAAAGTTTGTGTTTTCACTTATAACATCTTGAAGGTATAAATACTAAAGTGCTGGAAGTTTGTGGATAACATTTGGAAATATCTTATTCGCTGAATGCTGGAAGGGAATAATGATATAACTTTTTCTGCTGTACCTAGTTGTTTAGCTACGTAAAAAACTGCGAGGGACAAAGCCGCGGATAAAGCTCTGTAATCTTTATAGATTTAGGCTATTTTGTTTGTACAATACGGTATTATTTCACTAACAATATGACCGGGGGGCATCTATGACAATTATGCTAAATAAAGTTTTTTTTGTTTTTAAATTAAGAAGCGACTTAAAAAAACTATAAGCGCTGAATTGTTTTTTAATAATACTAAATGTAATACAATAAAAATCTTGAAAACCTAACCTACATAACCTAACCTCAAACAAAATTTAACAGTTTTTGGAGTCGGTGCCAAACCCAGTATCTTTTTTTTTACGTGAAAAAGTGGCAAAACAAACTGGCGGTTCACCTGATGTTAAATATTAACCGCCGCTCACGAACATTTGTAACACCCGTAGGGTTGCAAATGCGTTGCCACCTTTAAATAAAGTGGTTCCTGGCTCACTCACCAGACGAAACGCAGAAGTGTAACACTTCTACTTTACGCTGGTCTTCTGTGAGGTCGTGGTAATTACCCGGACGGACCTGAACATTCGTGCAATAGTGAAAACTATTGCGTAGCCCTACCACAGTAATCTGAGCTTAAAATCCTAACTTTGTTTCACATTTTAGGATTACATTCATTATTAAATACCTACATATAACTATCGTTAAGCCTATTTATTAGATAACCGCAGTATTCATTGCTTAGGTGTTATGGTGTACAACCATTACCAATGGTGAACAAAGGCACCGACAGACGTTATATTATGATGTGTGATTGCGCAAAACAATGCATCGCAGCAATGATAAAAGAGCAATGCAAATGATTGCAGCAATCGCGGTTGATTTGCTGTCGGTTTTTTTAGCTTTTAAAGCACCTTTTAAAGCTCCAATAAGAATGGCTAAAAATTCAACGTTTTATATTCACCTTATATGCACATTTTTGTACCTTATTGAAATATGCTTTAATCATATTAACTCTATTCCTTTGGCTTTAAGCCTACTAGCAATCATCATCATTCTAACGTACCGTACATTCGAATATGATGATGATATTATGATGAATAAAATCAATAATGTTGAAATACACGAAAAACACACTTTGCAATAAGTATTCAGTTTTAGAGATCTAGAATATAGGATTTAGAAACTATAATACATTGTGCATAGGCAATAAATAAAATATTCTTCAAACCAAGAAATACACGCAGTATATACAAACTATATTACGTTTTGTGTGTATATCCAGCAAACAAAATGGACAAACATTTAAGGAAAACCTAATAACTATTGGTCAGCAACAAACCAGCAAATATTTGAAAGTCACACAGAAATTCCACGACGGACAGCAAAGGATATCTAAAACAAACACAACAACGTTCCATTGTTTATGCTGCGATAAGACTTGGGCGCTCTTGGGTTATTGAGTAAGTATTCAATCGTTTTGTTACGGAAACTTGTTAATATCACCGCCCTCACCTGATCATTACTGCCGGTGAACGGTTGGTAACGCGCCAAAACGGGCCTGGAGCGTTGTCGCGCCACCGGCGAACCCGATATAGAAGCCATCGCGAGGAGATTAAAGCACTTGAACACCAGCACTTTCGTTATACAATTATGCACAAATAAAACACAGGCATCCGTCGGCCGAACAAGGAGGAAACATACTGTTCCAATTACAGCAGTGCGCCACTAACGAGATACCACATTTTCCGTCGACAAATCACATCCGGACGGGAGTCGAATGTTGGTGCGCGGGTGAATCAACTGATTACGACGGCGAACACTTAGCTCGAAACTAGAGCTGATAACGAATTAGCGCTGTTAATCGTGATTCACATTTCGAACGGCGCAAGGTGTGTAAAACACAAAGCTTCGCTCCGGATTATACGCGAACAATACTTACTACTACTACGTAGCTTTTTCGGCCTGACAAAATATGGATATAACTTTGCCAAAATGCGATAGGTTAAGGTTTAATTGACGCAACGCAAACTATTCACAGTGTGTTTCTTGTTAGGCTATTTTTCGTCCCCAAATAACGGACAAACGTAACAATGAAACGACCACTCCGCGATTACGTTTTCGCTTACTGGAACGGAACAATGGCTAAGGCGCGCCGTGGACATGCAACATAGCCAGACATGTCCGTCGCGACGAATGGAGACCGATGTGTAAGCGTCGCTCTAAGCGTGTACACGCAGGAGGACGGCCCTTATGGGACCGATATCGGTGTCACGGTGACGCCGGGCGGTGAGCCTGGCGCGGGCCGAATAGCGGACGCGAATTCCTACTCGTAATTCAAATAGCGAGACGCGCGCAACGTATGCATACGTGACCCACGAACAAACTGCCCGGGTGACCCATTAACTCAATTTTTAATATCAATACCGCGCGTGACCAACCGGTGACCGATTCCACATTGCCAACGGCCCTATATTTCGGTGGTTCGGCCGCACTAGACAATCTAAATTACACAAACTAAGAATACTCACCGCTGCGTAATCACGCGGAAACCACCACATGGAACAATAGAAATGCATTATTTAAAAACATACGATAGTTGTTAACAAAATAATAGGGTCGCGGTTTACGCAAACAAAGCAATATGACATAGGACAATTAATTTCATATATGCCGCATACACACCTAAACAAGGAAGACAACATGTACCTACGTCTTCCAGGCTGTTCGTGCTCATGTAAGCGACATCCATTAACAAGGTTTTCAGTCAAGACCCGAGAACAAAATGAGTTCGTTTAAACTGACAAATGACAGCGGCTGAGAGGCGCAAGCGGGACATTGTGATTAAAAAAAATCAACTCACGGGTCCGTGAATCAATAGACTTGAAATGCTATTGTTTTTAAATCTGGATTGTTTTCGATACGGCTCGCGCTGTACTACTGTGTTTACTGGCCAACAAATCAAACAAATGACGTTTACTGTTAATTGTCAACGAGCATAATGTTCTTTTTCAATGTCTAGTCTTACTACCTGTAGCTTATACTAAACATTAACTACAATCTTTGATGTAAATACAAAAATTATGACCGCAACATTCACAACTACAAGGCAATTATAAAACGCCTTGATACAAAACAAACTCAAACAAACTGAATAAACACACAAAAATCGGTCTTACATGGTGAATTCGGATCCATACTGTTGAAAATGGCTTCGTTTCTCCTTGCTGACGCTTAACGCGTGAAAATTAACGATCATAACTGAGTTTAGCTCACTAAACAAGAAAATCAGAGTCACAGAAGACAGGAACAGTACTAATCGCCTTCGATGGTGTAGAGCAAGACATATAAGTTCGTTGGAAGTACTGGGGGGCGGACAAATTATCGCGCCTCATTATAAGAACGGTCGCATAAAATATGTTAATTTGTGAGATAAACGTGCGTTGGACGACCACGGTGCGCTCGGAGTGCCCAACTGAGCGGTGGCGCGCCGCTTGCCTCTGCACTTAAGGCCCATTTACACGATGCCATTTTCTTGTACATACAAGAGCAATAATTGAATGCAATAAATTGCGCGCAATAATTGTTTAGACCATTTGTTGTTTAGACCATGCAACTCATTTATTGCTTCAATTTAATTGTATACAACAGGCAAGAAACTGGCACCATGTAAATGGGCCTTTACAGTACCACGCTATTTCAATTCGCGCGCGGAATTCGCAACCCGGCAAATTCCGTGACCACCAGGGTGGCCGTTGCCATACCGACGCGTCGTGTCCAAGTCAACTACACAATAACAACGGATCAAAATAGCGGAAATTTATTTATTGTTGCGGGGAAAATATTATCTTATTCATCTTCTAGTTGAGTTAAGCGAAATAAACTCTAGGCTGCTCGTTTCTATTGAATTGTTTTCGATCGAATCATAGCACACACGAATTTTACGCCCGGTTTCTGAAACACGGATCATCGTAGAAGTAATCAGTGTTTCTGAAGCCGGCGTGATCATGGTAGAAATTAACAAATCAGCTGTCAAATAGCTTGTCAAATTTAATTTGAGTTGCTAAAAGGATGATTAAACTCTCTGAATTGATCAGAATGACCTTCTTAATGATAAGAATTCAGAAACCGGGCGTTAGTCTCCTTTTTCTCATTGCCGCTTGTCTCTGTGAAACAGTATATGTATATAATAATGTTCAATTCGATTTCGATTAGAATCGCAATCGATCATCGTATAGACACAATTTTTTTCCGTTTTCTGAATCATAAAGGACCAATAACCTAAACGTGCTTAGCACTAAGTACACTGCTATAATTCTGAAGAGAAAATCTTATTCTAAAAGGTTTATTTAATATGTGAGCATGAGGGGTTAATTATTTTAATAATTTTACATATAATTTGATGAACTGGCTCAGTGAACTGCTTAATATGCGTGAAGAAATGACGTAGGTACCACGTTCAAGTGAGAAATTGATATAAATTGCTGCGCAAAGCATTGAAATTCCCGATGTCCCTGCACGATCGCTTTTATCTCTTATCCTTTAAACGAGCAATTCTTATATATATATAATCGGAATCTCGGAAACGGCTCCGGCGATTTTCATGAAATTTAGTATGTGCGTAGATTCGGGGGCGAAAAATCGATCTAGCTAGGTTTCATTTTTAGAAAATGTCCTTTTATTCGTTTTCAGGGAATGAAAAATATCATTCGAATATGACGGTAAATTTCGCCGCAAAAAAAATTTTTATAATAGGTCGGATGGTAAGTGGCGATGCAGCCGCGGATGGTAAGCGCGCTAGCTCAGTAAAAGCCTATTCACTCTTGCCTTGAAGACGCCGACAAACGTTTTTACGTTTCTATTCAAACGCCACGAAAAAATATTCATATGAACGCCACTTCGTCTCTACTGGAAGTAACTGTATAGATGGTGTTGATTACAAGTGACAGGACGAGATTATGACGTCACAACGGTTCCAGTCGGCAGATCAGCTTGAGGTACAAAGTTACACGGTTCGTAGACGCAAAACAATACAGCCCATCTCAAATGCAGAATAATTAAATGAATTTTTCACTCAAAATTTATCCTATAAAACATAAATATAATATCAATTTTAAAATTATATTTAAGTGCAGGAATAAACATAAAGGATGTTATTCATATTCAGGTCACATTGGTTTTAAATGGGTAGTGCTATGAAGAAAAAAGTTGAAGACAAACTTGAGAGCAGCTCTTAAGTGAGAACTATGGAGGGTGCATTTTTGTAACTCTTTGATCAAAGTAGGTAAAAAAAATGTAGCAATAAATAAATAATAAATAAAATGTCAAAACATCATAAGAATTACCTAACAATGGTGAATATTTACATAAACTTACTGTATGTTATTACATGCCTTGTGCTTAATAGATGATATAAGCAGATTGTGCTCATGTGAGCCACTTAACTTACGCAGCGAGAACAATGTAGCTAAGAAATGGGCAGTGCTTATTACCTACATTTGTCCATAAAATTACTTTTGATAGAATTGCTAAGACACCAAATTAAAGACTGATAATGTAACCAGATAATGAACTTGAGTAATTTTTATCCATTTCCTAAACCAAAATGGTACCCCCAAAACCAAAAACTGTTCATGAAAATTATTCTTGCGGAACAATAAATGGTTTGGTGGTTTATATATAAACCCTTAGGTTTATATATAAACCCTTAGGTTTATATAAACCACCTTATAAACACTGAAAACTTAAGTGAACACTACACTTAAGTGATACACCAATATATTTTATATTTTAAAAATAAAAGTAAAGTTTGTTACATTAACATTTAAGATGTAGAAGAGGCCATCACATTTCAAATGTGTTAAAGCTACAAAAATGGCGGTTAGTTGTTGCGTTTTCACCACCGCAAGTGTCACCAGGTGACACCAGGTAGCACTTAAGTGGTGGTGAAAACAAAACTATCACTAAATTTAAGTGCTAGTTTCGTTTTTAGGTATCCCTTAAAGTTAGGGATCAATGGTGAAAACTAGCATTAATCTAATGAATAATCTCTAATCTCTAACAATGATCAGATGTAAGTGAAATGTTTCTCAAAGTATAATTACAAAACAACAGAATTAATTATTATTAATTAATAAAATGCATTAAAAAGCATAGGTGGCATCTTATTATAGTTCTGTGATCAGTTAATGTATCAATCTATAACAAATAAAAATGTATAAAAAAGATAACACATAAAACCTTAAATATGTATTTTTTTGAGTTTGAGTGTAAATTAAATTTACCCTCTGAAGAATTCCCCATTTTAATGAAACATTCAAATTTAAAAAAATAACATAAGACAGTAACCATAGAAGAGAAATAAATTAAAAAATTGTTTAAAGTATGAGAAATTTAAATCGATATAACAGTATTTATCAATTCTGATCCACAAAATTTACAGACAAATTATAAGAAACAAATAAGTGAAGGAATATGCAAATCAATCCATCGTCCATCACCCTGGTTGTACTTTGGCACAATGCCAGAAACTTTGATGGTTGTCAAATATAATTTAGATAAAAATGTAAAGGATACAAAATTTATTTGTTTAATTGTCTTTCAATCTAATTAACTAACACATAATAAAAATATATTTCAATTAAATGTAACTTTTTATATTATGTGACCTCAACCAGCATCTCAAAGTTACACTTGATCATATAAAATTTATTATGCTTTAAAATTCAAAAAAGTCAAGAATACAAAAATTTTAAAGACTAATTTATCCTGAAACAAAAAGCTTAGCGACATTGCACGGAGTCGAAACTTTACATAGAATTGTTAAAAATTATAGATTACTCAAGTTATTTTAAGTAGTTTTTAAACATATTACTATGGGATTATGCTACAAAATTTAAACTATTATGCGCAAAATTACTTGGCGCGAAGAGGTCAACATTTAAAGATTCTAGAGCTATTGCGTAAGCTAATGCTTATTATTGATTATTACCTGATCTCTGCATAATGTAACACTATTTTAAAAATAATTCACACTAAAAACATTTCTGATTCAATAATTTTTGCCACTACACTCAACAGAAGCTGATCTGTCAACAGTTACACCCGCCCTTGGACCGGGAAGAAATTGATTTTTGAATATTCTTGCCAATTAAAAAAATAATATCAGTTATAAAAATTATTAAAGATAGTACAGAATAAAAGTACTCTTTAGATTTCTCAGCTTGTAACATATACTATAATTATATTTATTTCATTAAATTAAAATAAATTTTAGATATATCGTGCGTGTAATTTGCTGTTGGCTCGGCGTCTTTGACAGCTCCTTTTACAAAGGACGACATTGTTGAAGAGTAACTTTGCAGTATTGCACTAATATTATTAATAGAGTTTATTGATATCACGCCGTCAATGATGGTAAAAAAGTGGAATTTGTACTGATTTTGTTTCTACTGACGATATGTTAAAAAAATAAAATTCTATAGATGAAACTAATATTGAAGAATTGATAAACTTGGAAGAGGAGTAATGAATGCCTGTAAAAATTAAAATTATAAAGTATATAAATATATATTTATTACAATTTGTTAAAAATGCTATCCTTTAAAATTTTTTGTACTAACTTTTTCATCATACCTAAATTCAGCCCTGTGTGCTGTTTCAGTGTCTCACGGATGCCAACTTAGGAGGTTTCTTCCTAAATTTAGGAAGAAAAATTTTACAATGGAAGTTTTTTAGGAGAAATTTTTTGGGAATCTTTTTAGGAATAAAATTTTATTTACATTTTTGAAAAAAATAATTAGGTACCTACACAATTTTAAACTCCTTATATAATAGTATTGGCAGCATTGTATACAACAGTGACAATTGTTGGCTGCATTGGCCTCTGTAGTATTTTAAATTGTTCCACCATAAACTCCTCTAATGAATATACGTCTACTCAGAATATATTTAATTCATTTAATATGTAATACATTATAAAATGCCAAAGGGTGAGAAATTTGCCATCGGATAAGTTCAAAAAATGCAACTAATTTGGAAAAAAACAATGAATTTAAAGATATTTTTAATTTAGATCTTTTATAATTGAATGATACTTATTACCATTATTTTGTCTGATTCTTAAAAATAATGAAAATGATTATAATCATTCGTCAAGATAAAATGTATTTAATTTGTATAAATATTTTTCAAGTCAATTTACAATGTTCAAGGTCAAGTAAATTAATTAAATTAATTTTTAAATAAAACAGTTTTAATTACCCAGATAATTAATTTTTCCGATAACATATTCTACCTTGTTACATAATTTTAAAAAAGGGGACTTTTTTCATATAGGAAGTTTTTTTTAAAAACAGTGGATTTTAGGACGTTTTTGAATTTCTTTAGTTTTTTTTTTTCAGCAGTTGGTAACACTGCTATGCCTGTTAAGTGTGTGTCTCTTAAACGTAGTGATTACATTCTCTTTAAGTGTGTGTGTGTCACTTCATGTCATCACACGGATTGTTATGATATGTTGTGTTAAACAAATATTGATTTGATAAAGTTGTTAATTTTTGTTTTTACCCGCTTAAGCTTTTCAAGCTTACAACCCATAGCAATTATTGTTATTATTAGTAAATATATTTTATAGATGTATATATATAGTTTATGATTAAAATGTTCAAGTTTATTTCTTTTTCTGCAAAGTCAATTTCACATAAATTATTTTATAATAGAGCGCTCAATATAATACCGTATAAATCGAGGATCGTCTTATCAGCAGTGCGTACTAATAATCACATAAATTATATAAAGTTTAATTAACTATTCATATTAAACTTATTAGCTGTTCATCAGTAACACAGGTTTTTTTTAAAAATCTCTGAGTCAGCTAAATGTATAATAAATACCATACCATAATATTATCTTTATCTTTACTTGGAAAAAAATGTAGTGTAGAATGTAGTCATAGCCAACTTGCATGCCTGTGTAGAGGTCTATATGAGGAAGAGACATTAGAGACCAGATCACCTGTCTGGTGATCTGTTATGTTGAAACATTAGCATTTTGATAGATGCAAAGCATTAACTAAATGTATTTAGTTATCCAATTAGTAACCAAAGAGTGACATCATTCTTAATAATGTAATACATATAATATATCCCCCTAAAATTGGATAGAAAAAATTGATATTCTTTTATAACAAATTTAAAAATCATCATTGTCTGTATTATCATTACACAAAAGCTTAGTGTATGGTAGTAGTTAGTGTTTCAAGAATGAAAATGCAGTTTTATTTTTGCAGATTTATTATAGGATAAATAGAAGAAATTGTACTTCACCTACACTTGCAGTACTAGGTTTCTTATGGTCAAAACCAAAATTAGATATTGAAAAAAAAGAAGATGTGTCCATATTATTAGAAAAAGCTGATGTGGAATTTGACAACGGGCATTATGAAGATTGCTATCACATATTAATTCAAAGTAAGGTAATAATAAGGTTAAGAGATATATTATTATTTATTACAGACTTAATATTTGTTTTTTTTAATGCGAAAAGTTGCCAAACGAGCAGATGATTCACCGGATGTAAAGTGAATACCGCCGCCCATAGACATCTGCTACACCCGAGGGTTTGCAGATGCGTTGACAACCTTTTTGGAAATTGGGCTCTGGCTTCCTCACTTCCCAGACGAAACGCGAAAGTATTTGTCATACTTTCACTTCACGCCGGTCTTCTTTGTCGTCAAAATAGATCTAAATTGCGCTCTGCGTCTCTCCATCTGCTGCTGGAAAGTAGCAAGTATTCAAGGAGGGCAGCGAGTTTTCACCAGTTATAGTTTACCAGTTACACTTTTCTTTGTAGTCAATAAGAAGCTTTCTCTCTGAATCAGTAGCCACAAGTTACAGAGCCAACGGGGACACCATGAATTTCTTCAGTGGTGTTGTGCCCTTTTACGCCACTACATGGAGTCCTGCTTGGGCTCAGGATCCTAGTGATAGACCTAAGTTTCAGTTCAGTCACTACCCGGTTCAAAACATCCTTGTTTTCACCACAAAGAACAAAAAACTCACGTCGATACTCCGCTGCTACTGGTATTGCATAAGCACTAACCTTGCTGCACACCTATGACGTGCCAAAATGATCGTGAAGGATGCTGAAAATGTTTGAAAACTATCTCTTCATGCTGCATCTTCTCAATCGGGTGTTCAATACAATTCTTTCAAGTTTTTAGAAGTTTTCTGCCGTGGATGCTGCGGCTGGCCCCGGCCATTCAGGCCTCTTATCATTTCAATCAAATGCTGCTTGAAGAGGTTGGCCGCTTGTAAACTATAGTTTTTCCAGGATATATATTTTTGAAGCAATGTCTTGTCCACAAGACATTGCTTCAAAAATAGTCATGAGTGCCGTAACATTATAGAATCAAAACTATAATAGTCATTCATCTGATAATGTGACATGCCCTAAAATCAAACTGTTAATTTATAGGCTTGCGTTATGGGCTTCATAGCGGTAATTTTAATAAATTTTACATACATGAGCGGTATTGTCACGTTAAAAGGCTTCTTAAAAAAGCAGAACACAAATACAGATAATTGTATTGATTGTAATAAATAGGTTGTTAAAGTATTAATTATGATATATATGATCATATCAAATTTTCTTAAATTACAGTTTAACGACAACACTGAGGTGAAATGGCGTATGTGCAGAGCATTATACAATTTGGCAAAACAAACAAAATACGACCCAAATTATAGAAAGGCCCTCATTAAAGAAGCATATGAAATTATATCTAATGAATTACCTAAGTCTCAGCAAAATTATGCGGTGCATAAATGGTATGCGCTTATTTTAGAAGCTAAATCTAGCTATGATGGGTATAAGGAAAAAATTAAACATCTTGAAAAAATTAAAGAACAATTAGATGTAAGTCGAACCATAATAATTTGGGCTACTTTTTGTTATATTCTTTTTTCAGCTGAATACCGAGTAATGAAAAAAATCGAAATATAATATAAATTCTCTTTGGATGCGATGAATGTTAACATATTTTATGCATTTGTTTGTAACAAAAGATTGCTCTTTTCCTCATTAAATATACCTGCTTCTTAAATTAGCTTCTCCAAGACTCGTCTAATAATCAATAAACCTTAGTTTGAATACTATTATATTATTGCTGATCACCACTTTTAAGAATCTGCTGTCCGATCTAGAACAGTTTAATAAATCAATTTCATTTGAAAAATTATGCGTGAACTGAAGTACAAGTACCTACATATTACAAAATTGTTTCACTTAATTAATACGTATTAAGAGTATTTACTTGCTTTCCTTTCTTATGTACCACGCGAGATCTTGTTATAAGACAGTAAACACAGGAAGTTATCTTGACTACAAATTACATAAGTAATACTCACCATTTCGGGTAATTACAGTAAACATTACACATCGAATATTCGACGCGTTGGTCAGAGTGGCCGAAGATTTTTTATTCGGTAATAGGAAAATCCAAGATTCGTGGCACCTCAAGTTAAGCTAAAACTTTTTTTTAGCTTGCGGTGGCGCTTAACCCAAACGACGCAACGACCTTACATATGCTAGGAGAATGGTGTTATCAGCTTTCTGATATGCCATGGCACCATAGAAAGACTGCTGAAATTTTGTTTAGTCCTCTTCCACATTCCTGTTATGAAGATGCCCTTGAATATTTTTTGAAAGCAGAATCAGTTCACCCCAGGTTTTACAGCGTAAATTTATTGAGGATTGGCAGCTGTTACTTAAAACTCGAGAAAGAAGATCAAGCAAAATATTACCTACACTTAGCCGCTGGATATCCAGCTAAGTCTAATGAAGATCATCAAGCAAACAAAGAAGCCGCAGAATTGTTGAAAAGATTACAATGAAAGTATTATTAATAAATATTGAATCATAGAACCCAAACCAAACGAAAGTAACTATGTTATTAAATAAAGTAATAGTATAAGCAGCTGACTTTTTTATGTGATTTTGTGTTTTTTCGGTAATGTAAGCTGCACGGTAAGGCTACTTTACAGTGCCTAGCTGTAGGCTTACGTCCAATTGCAACAATACTTAGTAAATCCAAAACTTACGAGTTGGCACTCTACGACATCATTATTGTCGATTCGTATTGAAAGCATGTTTTTACGTAAAATATTAATTGGTAAAAACCTGATTTGAATAAAACGTTACAGCAGTTTCCGATACAAAAAATACATATATGTAAAGAAAGGCTTGTTGAAAGTTATAAGATTTGTTTCAAATCATAAACAACATAATTGTATGATTGAAAATATAACTTCTGTGCGAACTGATACTTTGTAACACGACGACCCCAATTATAAAACTGTAAACCTCCAAATACGTAGATGCTACTAATGCTGGGTAGGCAGTGCCGGCCCTAGCCTTTGATCAGTGTAGAGTAAGTTTGTCTTTCAGCGCCCTTTAGTCGGTGCTTTCACTTTGCATAAATTGTACTTTGGCTTTATGCAAAATAAATAACCAATATTTTTCAAATAAATTTATCGCAGACATCACACAACACTTTAATTGGAGTTAAATCAAATAGCTGTTGTTATTATAGCCCTGCTTATTTTTTATTTTTATTTATTTATAATTTATGTACACAGAGTTATGGCAGAAATGTAAATAGATGAAATAATTTGTACAAAAGCCCTGCTTATTTCATAAGAAATATCTTCCAGCAGACCTGTTACTGGAAATTGGTTACAGATGGTAATTGTGTACATACATCAATTAAAATACACGTATATGCAATAATTATAAATATGATATCATACCTGCTTCTTTAATATTGAGAAGGTTTCTACTGCCACTTAATCAAATGGATATTTTTTGTTAATTTTATTTAGTTCCTTAAAAAATTTAGTCTGTTAACTATGTAGGTATTATATTACAACTCATTGAAGAAAAACGCTCTACTCCGTTTACGCTTACTCTACTACATTCAATTTTAACAATGCTCCTATTTACATACTTAATTAAATTAGTATTTGTTGTTATTTTCAGTCAATCAATAATTACTGTTTCCTAATAAAATTGCCTCTCGTCAGGCAAAATGCACCATGAAAATATTATCTATAAATTGTTTTTTGCATTTGATATATACCGCCCTTTAGATATACACCACTCCCTGGCGCTTAGAGCAACCGCTCCTCTTGCTCTACTCTATTATATGCTCTTTGGGTCTACCCTTGGGCCAGCGCTGCGGGTAGGTAATGTGCCCAAGCTAATCAACTCCACAAATGGGACACCTAGAAAACTGGTACGATCCAAAACGCTATCTAAACGCTTTCTGTACTCTCTCCACCTGCCAAGGAACGTGCCGCTGTTTTTGTTGGTTAACTTCCAGGGGAAATATTCATCGGAGTATACTTGCCTCTTTGGCATAGGAAAGGTTTGAATTGTGATTTAAGATTTATAGTGATTACTTACGCCCTGCACAGGAAAAAGGAAGGCAGGAAACGCGATGTCAATTTTTTCTAAAACCACCAGTTAACTTCTATGATGATCAGTGTTTCAGAAATCGGGCGTAAGAGATATATTTAGAATTCTTCTAGATCTATTGCAAACTGCAAGTCAGTTTCGTTCAAAGCGTTACATAATTTCAAAAAAGAACTCTAGCGATAAAGAAGCGTTTTGGGTACAAGAATACAAAGCCTCATAATATTAAACGCAATGTGAATTAAGTTAGAATAATTTATAATAATTTAAAAACTTCAATTTATCGTAATATGATACTGAAAACGTAAAATGCAAGTGTGTAATAAAAAATACTCGCATGACGAAAGAACGACTGGCACTCAATAGTCTTTGCTGTGCACAAATGGGCAGACTCGTCCTCCGGGGAAGTCCATCGTGAAGTGGAAGTATACTTCTGCGTTTCGTCTGGTGAGTGAAGTAACTTGAGCTCACTTTATTGAAAGATGAACTCTACAATGTTACAGATATTTATATGCAGCGGCTATCATTTACCTCACATAAAAAAAATCTATTTGAAATCACCTAGAAGCTAAACAAACTAGTTAAACATTTTTATTAACAAAAAAACAAAAATGTGTAGAAAATTGGACGAAAAGCTTTTCTCTGCTTTGAGGAGTTGACAGATTGTCTTCACACTGAAGAAAATCTCAACGAATTTTATCTAATAAGTTTTTATTATGTTTAAATTTTAATATTAAAATATACTGACTTCCGGTCAACAGTATTATTAAATTATATTAATAAAAGATAAGCTTTAACGTTTATTTCAGTATATATGTCTTATCTATGGTTTATTTGCTTAATATATCTTTCAGGAGCAGTCGTAAAAATTAGACTTTTCACTTGAGCATCGCTTTTTTACCTCGAAGCAATGGCCCTTCATGAATTAGAAGACGACCTTTTTTTGTCCCTACAAGATATTTCTATAGCGTTACCGTTTGTTGAGTGCTCTAAAAATTTTACCCATTATGTGCTATTTTGCGATCGAAACTGCCCTTTTCTATATGCCCAAATTAGGCCTTACCAGCCTCAAATGCGCCATCGATCGTCTCAGCGATAGATTAGCAAATGGGGAATAGACCTGATTGTATATAAAAGTAAAAGCAATATTTAAAACAAGAATAATCCAAAAGTATTAAATATAAATATTTATATATATATAGCGTATCGTTACCACAGCGACAATAAATTAACACACGTCTAACGCTAAAAAAGAAACAAAATTTGTAACATCCTATACAACTCGCGCCACAGTGTCGCATTACAAGCCTCTTGTTCTAACAGTATGTTTTGTCTCTTGTAATTCATTCAACCCATTCATATGCTTTGTGACCTTTACAAATGAACTTTACGTTTCAGTTTTATACGTAAGGATGTTCTAAAATTGTTTGTTTTGGAAAATTTAATAACGCGGTAAATATTGATCTTTAAAGAATGTACATTAATATAATTTTAAAAAGTTATCCTCTATATGTGTGTTCGTTTATTGTCGCGGTGGTAACGACACGCTGTATATTACATAGCGGCACATTTTAAGATTTTTTTATTGATTCAATGTACTATACACGGGGCCATGCTTGCTTAACGTTTGACATACTCATATGAGATATCCGACGCCAAGAACATTTGCAACACCCGTAAGATTGCAGATCCACAGCGAAGACACATTACGACATAGAACGTTTTACGTGGCTCTACCACTTTTCTAAAGGTTTCCTTGTCATAGATTTCTAAACGTTCCGTTCTCCTTGATTTCAAAATGGCATTCCAACAAGTTGTATAAACTTTGTGCGGGGCCCTTTATATTTGTTTGAGGTTCATGTTGTTTTCCAAAATATAATATGCATGATATTGAACTTTGTAAATTGATATGATTTGAACTTGATAAATCAATTACATTCCTATCACCTTTTTTGACAAAATTTATCACTTATGTAGCATAAACATTCGGTGATCGGTCGCCAGACTCATCAGCATACAATACCGCTAGTAACTAGTGTATAGGTAGTACAGGGTTGGGGTTAATACCGATACACTGGTGGTGCCTGCTCTGATGGGATGGAATAGGGTTCCGCTGCGTCGAAATTTATAACGCAAGGAAATTTAAAATGCAAGGAATAAAGAATGCATGCGACTGTCGTTTTGGGTGTCGGTAGAGTGACGCTTAGGGAAAATGTGGTCTATTGCACTTGTAAATTTCTTGAGCTTATTCGGCTCGACGCTTTTTCCACATTTCAGTGATGGTAGCTTTATTAAATATCGCTAGAGAGCAAGTCCTGATTAAAACATACCCTGCACATCTCGTGCAGGGAATGTTTTAATCACTCTGTGGAAAAATTATACATGGCCTTTAATTTTCATAAACTAATTGTTTTTCTTTTAAGTACGGGTCTTTTTATTTTCGTGAAAAAAATATTTGTATTTATATAGATGTTATAATCTTTTATATTTTTTTTCCGGATTGCTTCCTCCAGATAGTTTTTTTATCGATTGCGATGTAAGCAGAGGGTTGAACCTTTATTTATGGTTATCGTGTCTCTCGTCTACAGGGGTCGCAGAATTGTGGCGCTGTATAAGGCTGACGGCATAATCATTGACGTGAAACAGCTTCGTTCTCTTCTGAGTCGGTGAGTCGTCTACCTGTAGACTTCTTCCGACAAAGCTGTCAAAACTACGGGGCTAGAAGTGGGCGATACAAATCCTAAACATATATGAAAACTATATATTGGTACAATATCCAAACACGAACAATAACAACACACAAAATCTATGTATTTCCGAAATCTGATGTACCGAATACTCGCTATAAAGACACGATTTTAAGACAAAGCGCGTGAGATACGAATATTCACTAGTTAGAGCAGTACGACAACAATATCAGATTTTTAAACAGATTTCGAGTGACAAAGCGCGTGAGATACAAATAATACATTAGTTAGAGCAGTACGGCAACAATATCAGATTTTTAAACAGATTTTATGAATAAGTTAAGTAATTTTGAATCTTAAATACATACACATAAGATCCGTTTCATTTCAATACTAAGCATGGTATCAACGATTACGATATCTTTTAATTCTTTTATTTAGCCTTGAGCCGTAGCGAGCGACAAAGCGCGTGAGATACAAATATTACACTAGTTAGAGGGGTACGGCAAACAATGCACAATATCAGATTTTCAAACAGATTTTATGAAAAAGTTAAGCAATTTTGAATTTTAAAAGCATGGCAAAAAAACTCTGTTTCATTTAAATATGAATCATGGTATTAACGATGTCTTTAAATTTTGTTTAGCCTTGACCTGGAGTGCATCATTGATATAAGAATATAAGAGGATATGCCCTTTATTGCATATACAATTTCTCGTTATACAAATATG